AGATTATTCAAAATAAAAATTTGGGCTGTCAAATGGACATAAGGGAAACGAACTCAGATTATGAGATGGAAAAAAGATAATTTGCAAATATTCACTTTTAAAAAAAATGTTTTAAGACAAATATTTTTCCTTGAGATTGTTTCTGTCACAAAGATTAAAAACAAACTGTTTAGATGTATGTGTAACCATAAGAAAGAAGATCGAAAACATTCAATTTATCATTAAAGAGCTGTTTTAAATAAAAACTCTAAACTCAAGCTCAAAAAGAAGAATAAGAAACCTTACCTGACTTTCTTGTGCTGTGGTGGCATAGCAGGGTGTTCCACTGATATCCCAGCACTCACATAAACTCCGTCAACTAAGGCCCAATGCCGCAAACATACAAAATCTCTAAAATAAAAATGGAAGTTAAAGAAAGAGCTGAATATGTCAAAGTTAACAATATTTAAGAGTCATAACAAAACAGTTTATTTATTGCAAAAGAATATAATGCTTAACCAATTTCAGCGAAAAGGAACCGACTCCGGCCCAAAACTTGAATTTTCTAATTATCATATATAATACTAGCTGAAGGGCCCGGCGTTGCCCGTAGAAAAAACTATTTTCAAGAAACAAAATTTTTGAAAAAATAAACCAATTTTTAAAAAATATTTTTAGCTTAAAACACTCATGAGTGTCCCAAAAATATTTCAGCACATTCGGTCCAGCCGTTTGGCCAGCTATAGGCAACATATATGTCTTGTTTTATTTTATAGATACACTTTGCTTGTCTGTCTGTTTGTTTGTTTGTCTGTTTGTATTCAATAAACATCAAAACGGCTGAACAGATCGGGTCCAATTTTTTAGTGGGACCTTAAGTGACCACAGGGAAGGCTTATGAAAGATCAAAATTTCAAAAATCTGAGTTTAAAACTTTTTTATTTTTGTGAAATTTTGAAAATGTGCGAAAAAATATTATTAAGTCCGCAAATTATTTTTACTTTTTTTACTGTACAAAGAGAAGATACTCACAGAAAAAGCCACAATCAAAAGTTGAAATACAAAATGGGCGCAAAACGCCCTAAAAGCCTAGTATATTATAAGAATTATCAAAATATACATTATACAATGTAAATTACCAGTAAAGATACAGGAATAAAAAATCTAAGTTAGCTGCGGAAATTTCAGTTCCTTCATTAAATAAGAAAAAACACGTAGACAATCCCGTTTTAAGGTTCTTTTCATCTATATTTATATTTTGATTGTTAGTCCTGTGTGTATCCCATAAACGTCAAAACGGCTGAACCGATCGGGCTGGTCGAAATTAAAAAATGTACAACTCCTCCTTCAACTTGCACCGGCGCGAGAACAAAAGAAGAGGTTAAACTTAATCTACAAGGCTATACCACTCCCTGCGCGCTAATCATTTCGTCAGGTCCCATGATATGTTGTTTATTAACTACTTCTAACAATACATAAGGCGTCTTCCTTTTCCGTTATGTTGTGAAAAGCAATGTAATTTGACTACCTGGTTGAAACTAAGCCTCCTCCTGCCTCTGCACACACTTGGTATGTGATATCTGTATATTCGTCTATCGGCTGGAAAAAATAAATAATAGATGCTGACAAAAAAAAACTCTTAATGGATTGAAATGAAAGACAGAGGATACATTTTGTAATGTTTTTTTTATAATTTTTTTTATTATTAAACATTAAACAGCTTTTATTATCAACAAATTTGTTCAACTTTTTTTTTACAAAAGTTCACAAATTTCTAATAACTGCATTTTAAGCAAAAAATATTTATACTTTTTAACAAATGAATAATAGAGGGGTTGGGGTACCACAGTACAAGGTGAGAAGTTGAGGGCGCAAGGGGTTTATTATCTGAATAATGGAGAAAGAAAGGAATTGAGGGAGGGGGGTTCAATTACCTGAATTATTCTACAATCTGTTAATGTTGGATTCCATTTAGGAATCTGATCTCCTCTGAAGAAAAGATCTTCTAACAACAATGCCGGAGATATGTCAACATAACCCTGAACATCATTAGTCAATTAGTCAATTAGTCAATTAGTCAATTAGTCAATTAGTCAATTCGTAATTTGTCATTTGTCATTGTCTGTCATTTGTCACTGTTGGTCATTTGACATTTGCCATTTGTCATTTATCGTTTGTCATTTGTCATTTGTCATATGTCATTTGTCATTTGTCTTTTGTCATTTGTCGCATGTCATTGTCGTTCGTCATTGTCATTTGTCATTTGTCATTTAATTGTCATTTTTATAACCATAATAATTATTTCTATTACATTGGAAAGTACATTTACTTCCAACATTATTCAGAGGAACATTTTCTCTGCAATATAACCTTCCCACCTGTTTTTAAAAAAAACTTTTCTTTTCCAGAAAAGTTGATTATTTGTGCTGACTGAATTGGAAAACAAACATAAAATTTTGGGTGAAAGAAACAAAGTGTGAATTCATTGCAGCACAATGCCGGTGTAGTTCATCTAGTTGCAGTCAAACCCGGAGTTACGAGACCTGTGTCACCGTGAACGTTGAGATAGGACAGATTTTATTCTGGGATCATCTTTATTTTTATGATTCGTCAAGATTAGACGAAATCTTCAGGTAATTCTTCCAAAATCATTCCCCCCCCTCACCCTGGGATATTTTGTTAAAAAATATACCCTATCAACCAACCAACCAACCAACCAACCAACCAACCAACCAATTATTCAAACAATCAGTTATTCAATCAATCATCCCATTTATTAAATTTATCATTAAATAAATAAATGGAAAAAGTTTGTGTTGATTTTGGTCCAAGCTACGATAAAGTTGATTAAATCTATTATTTTCACATTTTCTTATGAATCAATAAATAATTTATTTTAAAGAAAGATTTCCAGATGCGTCCCCACTCCCCATTGTCCATAGGACGATTTTTAAATACTCATAAAATTTTTATTTTAGTTTATAGCGAGTTAAAGCAAAAAAAGCTAGCTAAAAGGGGGAGGGGAGGTTTTCAACAAAATGTTAATCACCAATACATTAATATCGCCACACTCAGTCACAATCGAGTTCTCTGTTATTACCTTCTGAGTTAAGATTTGTCCAAGCTGTCATGAGAGCCTCCTCTCCTTTCTTCTTCAGTTCTACTTCCTGAAAAAATTTTCCTTCCTGTGGAAATCACGCAATTTTTAGTGTACTGTCAGTGTCCAATGTCCACTATTAACAAGTAAATTGGATATTTCAGCCGCAACATATTTCCATCTGTGTGAGAATAAAAAACTTCATAAGTTAAAGTGACTGAGTTGGAACTAAATAAACTGGTTTATAACAAAACTAGATTTGGTTAATTTTAATTATAATTTATTTATCTATGTTCTGGTCATGAAAAGTAAAAATTTAAAATATATTTTTAACATATTTATTTTTACCTTTTCTGTTAGAGGTTTGTTTCCCCTTCGCTTAAACCTGGGCAATGAATCAGTCAAACCATTTTCGTGAAAATAGTTTGACATAAATACATTTTGAAATAAGAGTTTTTGTAAGGACAGGCACGTACACAGGATTTTAGCCGGGGGGAAGGGGGGAAGATTAATTAGTTGAAAAAGCAATAAAAGTTAGATTTTAAAATAGATGGGTCGAAACACCAAGAAAATACTACTTTTTACGGGGAAGACATCTTTAAATGCAAGCTCATTTTTTATTTACCACATTAGATTCTAACCTTTGCCCAAGAATCCCAATAGAGGGGCNTTTAATGCAAGCTAATTTTTTATTTACCACATTTGATTCTAACCTTTGCCCAAGAATCCCAAGAAACGCTCTACTCCCGCCCTGCCCCCGTATATGAACTGCGGTCGAAATTTTTGTATGTGAGATTGCGGAATCTGCAACTATGAGAAAAATTCAATAAGCATGTTTTGTTTAAGGACAAATGCTAATCCTTCTTTAAATACCCTGCTGGGTTCCGCCGTAGGACGCAAAAAACATACGGACAACTTCTTAAACCTCTGATTATTTATCTTAAAAAGCTAGGAGAACTGAACTTTTGTCACGTATACTTCAGGACACTTATTTCAATTGTTGATTGATCCATTAATTAATTAGTTAGTTGATTGATTGATTGAGTAATTGATTGATTGATTCCTTCTCGGTATTCTAATGCCGCTGTCCTCTGAGATCTCACTGTCCTCGTTATCTGATACTTCAGGACTCTCCATAGGAGAATAGAAGTTGGCCACTGATCCTGGATAAAAAATTTCTATTTAAGATTTTCAGATTTGTCAAATAAAAAATATTCAATGTTTATCATTTTATGTATTAGAATAGCGCAAGATATTAAACATGCATGCATGCTGTAAAATATCAGATACTTATTTCATTTAGATATTTATAAATGTTTTTCAAATAAACCTAAGATATTTTTCGAGCTTTAAAATAAAATAAAAGAAACTATCAACCAATGTAGCTACAAAAAAATAATCAATTTATGTAATTCACAAATTTAAAACGACCAAGCTTATATTGCTTGATTCACTTCTAGAAGAGGTCTTTCAAATGCCGAGTTGTCATTAAAAAAATATAAACAAGTATTAATGACTTCAAGGAGGCCAAAAATGGGAGACCGAAATTAGAAGTGCCATAAGGATCCGAGTTTTATCGAGGCTGAGCCCTGTCTGATGCGAGGGGTCAACCCCCTGTATCCTTGAGGCAGTTAAAACAGCCTCTACAGTTTGAACAGTTTGTATTTTGGAGTGGAGGTTACAGACTTTGAGTGGAAGTTGAAAACTGTAAAGTGAAAGTTATAAACTTTTAAGTAAAAGTAAACTTTTAAATAAAAGCAATAAACTTTTGAATGTCAGCTTCAACCATTTGGTGCTAAGTGATATATAGACACTTGCTAGGGCACTTAAACTAATATTACATATATTTCTGCCGAATTTTTATCTAGATTGACGGAAGTAACGTAGTCTGGGAGACAAGTAGCAGCGGAGTCCGAAAGGAACCCAAGCCTTTGTATCGGAGGCTTGATTAAACACTAGGATAAGGATGTACCCTTGATATAATATAATAGGGTTTACTCTGCCACTTATTACAAACCTGGTACATCCTTCATTTATTAGGTTGGAGGAGTAAAATTATATAAAACTATATAATAACGATATTGCATAGTAGTCGGTGAACTTTTATCTCCGGATAACTTTTTACCGAGTGGTCTGTTGGGGTATTTCTATCTCCGGATAGCCTTACTCCGCCAGATCAATTTTAAACTGAGTAAGTGACAGCTTAACTGTACACTAAAAGAAGGCTTTAAATAAAAAAAAGAAAAGAAAAAATAAAAAAAAATAAAAAAATTTTTAATAAGAGAGAAAAAAAAATCTTAAAAAAAGCTACAAAAAAAAAGAGAGGATAAAGAAAAGAATAAAGAAAGATAAAAGAAAAGTATTTAAAAAAAGCTTAGTAAAAAAAAGCCCACTCAGTATTTTAGCCCTGTATATTCATTCAATTGTAAACTCCGCGAGGAGTCCCCGAAGAAATACTTGCTAGTTTCGTAGGGGTATTTATATTTGTTTAAACTTTATTTTATCCAAACATGGCTGACAAACCACCAAAGAAGACTTATCCCTGTCTGAAATGTGATGAGCATGTTGCCAAGAATGCTGAAGCTGTACAATGCATGTTCTGTGAATTCTGGATTCACAAAAAATGTGCAGGCCTCACCAAGGAAGTTTTTGATTTTATGGTAAAGACAGCTAAAGCAACTGGGAATGTACAGTATATCTGTACTGCCTGCACCTCAACCTGTACTTCTCTCAACAAAAAGATAAGTACAATGGATAAGGAGCTGAAAGGAGTAGTGAAGACTGTAGATGAAAACACTAGAGTCATTGAGAAATGCATGGACACTGTGGAGGATCTAAAGAAAAAGATGCCAGACAGTGAGGAAGTCATGGCTAAAACAGTTGAAGCATCAAATGATTGTGTGTTTCTTGAACTAAGAGATCAACAAATCAGACGGAAAAATATTATCATACATAATATTCCTGAGTTGGAGGATAATGATCCAAGAGCCAGAAAGGCCCATGATAATGATAACCTGAAAGAGATACTCAAAATTATCTCACTATCTAGCATCAAGGAGGATGATATCAAGTATATGAACAGAATTGGGGAAAAGAGGCAAACTGATAGACCCCTTCTAGTGAGCTTTAGGAAACAAGAGCACAGGGATAGTGTGCTTGAACATGCAAGATTCCTGAAATCATCAAAAAAGGCTGATATTAGTCTTATCCCTGACCTCACTAAACGTCAAAGGAAGGAGGAGGATGACTTGAGAAAGGAAATGAGGAAAAAAAATGAAGAGCTCAATGGAGAGGATCATTTAAACTGGGAATGGAGGTTGGTTGGAATCAGAGGAGAGAGGAAACTAGTAAAAATGAAAAAATTCCAACAAAGAACAGAAAAAGAAAACCGACCATTCAGACCTGGCCAGCACAGACAGCTAACTGCCAAAACAACAAATCCAAACCTTATGCCCCTAGGGGAAAAAAACAGGAAAAGGAAACCAATAGACGAGGATCTTTCCGGGAGGAAGAAGAGCAGGGGAGGAGAGGAGGAGGAGGAGACAGTGTCAGAGTCAGAATTGGAAACAGAGGAACTGGAGGGGAGAGGAGCCAGTCTCAGATCCAGAGGAGCGGAGAGGCCAGAGGCCAACAACTAAAGATCCTCTATATGAACGCCCAGAGCATTGTTGGAAAAATAAATGAGCTCGAATGTGTAGCAAATGAATTTTCTCCTTCCATTATCATCATAACCGAATCCTGGTGTAATGAAAATATAAGTAATGCTCTGCTAAAGTTATCTGGTTACTATTTAGTACCAGAACTAAGGTTAGACAGGTGTGACAACCACAGAGGCATAGGAGGTGGTATTTTGGTCTATGTAAAGGACAATTTACAGATTTTAGCAAACGACAATAAATCAGATTTTAACCAATATTGTAATTTTACCGTTGTGAATAACTTAAAGCAAAAGGTGACTATCTATGTTATTTACCGATCACCTAACTCTACAAACACTAATAATGATACTCTATGCGAACTATTGAGTGATGCTTCAAATAACAAATGTATTTTCATTGGTGACTTTAACCACCCTAAGATTAACTGGGAGACTGGAACTAGTGAAAATAGGAAATGCTCAGAGTTCTTCAACAGCCTTACTTCGAACAATTATTCTCAGGTAGTGGATTTTCCTACACAGATTAGGGGTAACATATTGGACTTAGTAATAACAAATGAGCCTGATTTGATTCTTTATACAAAACCTGTAGGAAGACTTGGTAAAAGTGACCATGAAATTATTGAAATTGGACTAAACATTAACCAGAACAAGGATGATACTGAGAGATTCTTTTATGACTGGAAAAATGCTGATGTATCTGAAATGAACAAGTACATAGAAAGACAAGATTGGAAAAACAATTTATCACAGTTGTCAACTGAAGAGGCATGGTTAAAACTAAAATTTGAGTTACTTGAAACTTTTCACAATTTTGTTCCAAGGAAGATAAGCAAGAAAGGCAACAGACCTGACTGGATGGATACGAATACCCTGAGAATGATCAGAAAAAAGAGAAGATTATGGAGTAGATATAAAAGCACAAGATCTCCAGAGGACCTGACTGAATACAATAAAATGGAAAAACTAACTAAGAAAACCATCAGAAAAGCTAAACGCAGATATGAGGTTAAACTGTCTAAGAAAACAGACTTTCGGAATGCTCAGTTTAGAAACTATATAAAAGGTAAAACTGTCTCTACAAATCCTATTGGACCACTGCTTGACATATCTGGTAAAGTTATCACAGATAACAAGGAAATGGCTGATCAGCTGAACACTTATTTCTCAAGTGTTTTTACGAGGGAAGATCAGTCAAATGTACCAGTACTCCAAGCTAAAGTAAATGTACCAGACCTAGATAACATCTTCTTCTCTGTCACTGACATTGAAGACAAGATATCTGAACTAAAAGACAATTCAGCTCCTGGACCAGGCCAAATATCCGGAAAACTGCTTAAATCTTTGAAAACCACTATCTCCAAACCTCTCCAGTTAATTTACAATAAATCTCTGTCTGAAAAAACAGCTCCAAGTGAATGGAAGGATGCTATTGTAATTCCTATCTTCAAGAAAGGGACAAAAGGGAGTCCTAGTAACTACAGGCCAGTGTCCCTCACATCAATAGTCTGTAAAATCATGGAGAAATTATTAAATGAATAGATGATGTGGACAGAAAGATTTGGTTTGAGCTGTATGGTGACACTGAAAGGAGAGTAACCAGAACAAGTGAACAGTCCCTTTGTATAGTAGCTTCCAGACCCAATTTGGATATAAGAAAACACTTCTTCTCTAATAGAATAGTTCAGCAGTGGAATGCCCTACATGATAGCATCAAAAATGCAAGAAATGTCAAACAGTTTAAAAACATGTATTTGAGCCAAGTGCCCCTACCCAGATGAAGTAATCTGTCAGACCTCTGCTCTTGGAAATGGTATGGGTCACCAGTAAAGCTGACACTTCTTCCTTGGATCAAAATGGTCCCTTAGAAGTTCCTCTTCAAGTAACAAGTAAGTAAGTATGCAAAAAAATACCTGATATGTCTACTTATGCATAGAAATGAACCTCGTTAAAATCAAATCAAAATCAAATCAGACTTTTAGGGATGTCCTACTACCAACTAACAACTTTTCAAATGACTTAAAAATAGGGGGAGGTGAAAAAAAATCAAGTTTTGGAAAAATATATCAGTTTTTGGGATTTTTTTATGAATATTTTTTCCCATGACATAGAAGAGTGTACACTGTGTACTGAAAAGAGGCGTATTCAGGGATAAGGCGATAATGGCTCAGTCCCCCCCCCCTGGATCAGTGAAATCTATGGTCTCAGGGGGTTTTTGGGTCCCAAAGGGTGATAACTGATAAGCCCCCTAAAAAGAAAAAAACATTCAAGCCTTTGGTAAATACGCACCTGGTACTAAACAATATAGTTTACCAAATAAAATACAAATGATGACCATCCTTTCACTATAAAATATTTTATTAGGAATCAAAAGAACAATTCCTGAACTAATATCACCCCTAAACCATGGTTTCATTTGAAGACTAAAAAAACAAGCTCCACGGAAGTGTTTACTTTACATCTTCTTATTTGAAATTCAGATGTTCACCTATTTTTGGATCATTGTTTTACTAACGTTAGTTTGTATATTTTACCTTCATTAAGTGTGCTTCCCTCTGCAATATATCTTTGAAGCATTCCTCCTTGTGAGCCTAGGAGAGGGGTTCGGTCATCCAGAGCCTCACTGTGTAGATTCCAGATCTCAGCAGCCTACCACCAGATTTTATCAATAGATGTAGTTGATCTACGTAGATTAAATTGAACCACTCGACTTAAAAATTGATAAACCAAAACTGACATTCCCCCAGAGGAAAATGCATATTTTTTTGAAAAAAAAACATTTCCTGGGTTAAAATTTATTACCCCCCCCCCAGAAATTCAGTAATTTTTAGGGGTTTATTCGCTGAATGGGGGAAAATTAAATATTAATGATTTATGAATAAAATTTAACGAAGACGAAATTTTTATGTTACTTAATCTTTTAAATTTAATTAACTTTTAAAATTATTTAGTTAAATTCTGATGACAGTTTGACTGTAGTGTACACGATGTGTAAGTGAATTCTTATGTATATATTTTAACACCTTTCTTCATTGTTGAAAATCTACACTATTAAAGTGAATATCTAAATCTTGAAATATTCAAGTCTTTTCATGTGGTGGTTAAAAGCAAATCAACTCAAATCACGAGAGTATGGTATTGCTTGAGGCTCCGGGGTTTCAATTCATCCTGCATTTGCGGGTTTCAGCTTGATCGTGATTTTTTTTTACTTCTTCTCATGTCGTGTTGATCCTCTGAACCTTTGATCATCTTAGCAGTTTCTCTTTAATCTTTAATTGTTTGTCCTATTTTAACAAGATTTTGCTCCATTTGAATTTTTTTTTGGACATTGTTTCACTGTAAAAAATTAATCTTATACAAATGAACACTTTTCTACTAAAACACATAAATATTCAATAGCTCAAACGGCAGTGGGTCTGGCAGTATAGCATCTTATGATATCAATATACAGTAAGTGAGTGACCTGCTGGACATAATAGTTAGGCTGAGAGTCTCAAATCCTAAAAAAGTGCTCTACAATACTGAACTCTCCGCTCAACTGCCGTATTTAGCCGGTCACTCCCTTTAATTTAACTGAAAACTGAAATATATTAATACCTTGGTCTCAAGAGGGATCATCCTGAAGTCGAAGAACCACGCCTCGGACCAGGAGAGGATAAAGGAGAGAAGAACTAACATCACGTCGTAGGTGATAGGGTCGTGGTGCCAATGATACTCAAACACCTGAACCCAAAAGTTAATGAAAAAATAAGTTTTTGCATAGTTATATTTTAAATACAAAACTATATGATACAGGGTGAGAGGATAGAATCATATTGGATTCTAAAAACTAATTCACCCCCTGCAATACTTTTCAGGGGGTATATAAATTATATATTCTTCATAAAATAGCCTATTTTTAATAATTTTTTGAGGGTTTGTACAAGAATTAGGGAATTACAAATAAAAAAAAAAAATTTGCTGCTTAATTATTTTTCTTCACCCCAGGCCTCAATTTTGGTAAATCATTCCTTCTCCTACATAAATACCCCTTGCTACCTTTGCTATGAGACAGGCTACTGTGCCTGTACCGAGTACATAAATACCCCTTGCTACCTTTGCTATGAGGAAGGCTACTGTGCCTGTATATAAATAACCTCGCTACCTTTTCTTTTAGGAAGGCTACTGTGCCTGTACATAAATACCACTGCTACCTTTGCTATGAGGAAGGCTACTGTGCCTGTACAGTTTACATAAATACCCCTGCTACCTTTGCTATGATGAAGGCTACTGTGCCTGTACATATATACCCCTGCTACCTTTGCTATGAGGAAGGCTACTGTGCCTGTAGTTGTACAGCATATAACACACCAATGTGAGAAATCTAGAAACCCGTAGAATACCAGGCACATTAAAAACCTAAAAAAAATATTTACATTATAAAAGTTTAAATATTCGTAAAATTAAAGTGAATGCTCAGGTCTGCAAAGCAAGGAGTATGAGGATAAGCTAAAAGAGCTTAATCTTCAATCTTTAGAAGAAAGAATGATAAGATATGACATGATTCAAGTGTTCAAACTCATGCACAATTACGATGATGTAGACAGGAGACAATTCTTCTAGAGTTAACAGACAATCTTTTGATGCATTAAATATACTAACAACCAGATGCAGGATTGAGGTTAGAAGAAATTTCTTCACCAACAGAGTAGCAGAGAAATGGAACAAATTACCAGAATATATCAAAGGAGCAGGAAATATTAAAACTTTCAAGTATTTATATGATAAAATACCAGAACAGCAGGAATGAGAAACCTATGAGTAAAATGTTATACTTTACGATGATCATTATCTATTAGACTATTTGTTAATAATCAGATTACAAGATTCAGTAGAATGCGTGCTTACATAATTCACATCAACAATATTTCAGTTCGTGTAGTTTTGTAATTTTTAAACCCCCTCCAGTCCATTCTACAGGATGGCAAACTGCTTAAAAAAATTATTTTCTGAAAGAATTCGTGCAGTTTCAGAATTCGTACATTTACTAGAAAGATTCGTACAATCCGTATTCTTTTTTAGAAGAATTCAGTAAAACCCGTACGTGCATAAAGATCTCGATATCTGTACTTTTCAGGAAACAAATTTTAGGGAGGTTTTTTTAACATTACTCGATACATTTTACCCAACCATGGTGCATAAACTAAATCTGTCAAATGTCAATATCAAATTGTTTTTTCTTCATTTTTTTATGTGACATTCAACCCTTTCAGAGATTCTAAATTAATATCTATTGAACTTATTTATTAGAAAGGACCCACACAAATATTACCCAACAAATTATTTGTTGTTTTTATGTCCACTACTCCCACTACCTCCTGTTATAAACTATAATTTGTATAATAAAATTTACCTAATTGCTGCAACTCCCACACAATCAAACATGGAGGAATGTATTGTGTATTCAACAACCTGGGCATACAGCTCGGTAGCCAAATCATTCCCTGTAATTAGATAAATAAATACTTAAATAAGTCAATAAATAAAGGATAGATGGATAGGAGGATTCACTGGATTAGGTGAATAGATTGAAAGATAAATAAAAGGGTGAATAGAACTAGATAGATAAATAAACAAATTTTTAAATCAAATGTTCAGCCATCATTCAATGGAAGTAAGGTTTAAGCTCCTATTAAACTAAGCGAGCACTAGATGGCCCTGTTGGTACCAGATATTTAAATTATTTGAAAAACATTCCGCACCGGTTCAATCAGATCTCTAGTGCTTAATTAATTATCTACTTTTCCTACAGGGTGTTTCTCTACAACGGTTATTTTTGATTTGCTTAATATTTCAATTAAAACGACCTGATAAGCTTGCAATAAATATATTAATAGAAACTAGATTGGGACATTTACGATTTAAGCCAAAATGCCATTCATTTGAACTTTTCTGAGTAAGTTAAGCTGTGAATCGAAACAGGCTCTGCTGGCGTGATCTCTCATGTGGCTGACACACTTTCTGATTTCTATAGGCTGCAGGGAAACAGCAAAACTCTTCCACAATCATTTTTAGCTCTTCAACAGTAGCAGGTTGAGCAATAACTGTAACCTGAATGCTCGGCGAACCTGAAGCTCAATTCGAAGTTTTTCATATTCCAGAATAATCCAGGTTTTCTCCTCTGCAGTAAAAGGGCTATTTGACCTATCAATTCTAACTGGTGCCTTTTTTTCAACCAGAATATAAAATGTCCCTGCAAGCTGGCCAATTTCGCGGATTTTAACCCAATAAAAAATTCAATAAAAATTTTAGCACTTCAAAAATATCAGTTGTAGAGAAACACCCTGTACAGTGCAGTGATAACCAGAACACAGTACAGAGCATTTGATGTTGTTACAAAGCAAAAAGCTTTAGTAGGGAGTCATTAAAACACTTACTAAGTAAAATGAGTCTGTTTACAGTGCTCAGTTTCTGTGCCTCATGTTATTTTATTAATTTAATTTATTAAAATTTATAACTGAAGTCTAAAAAACGACTTCCTATTTTAGAGATTTCTGGATATCACTGTATTGATCAGATCTGGATATTAAAGTTGACCCGCATTGACCAACCTGTGACTAGTATAGCAATTATCCAAAGCAGTGCTAGGAACATGATGTCGAATAAACAAAGGAGAAGAAAGGTTCGACGGACAGGCGACAGAGCACCGTTTGGCCGGGAACCAGACACCAGATCATCTAAAACAGTTTTAAAAACCTATAAAATCTTAACATTAGAACGTAAATACCAGATAAACTAAACATAAGAACGTTTGAATACTAGATAACCTGAACATAAGAACGTTTAAATACTAGAAAATCTAAAACAGAGAAAGTTTAAAATCAAATAATCTAAACATAAGAACGATAAATACCAGATAATCTAAACATAAGAACGTGCAAATATCAGTTAATCTAATCATCAAAAAAGTTAAATACCACATAATCTAAACATCAAAACGCATAAAATCAAGACGATCTTAACACCAGAAAGCATAAATAACAGAAAAGCTAAGCCTTAGAACGTTAAAATACCAAATAATGTAAACATTAGCACGCATAAATACCAGATAAATTTACACGATTTGATGTGTAAATTATCTGGTATCAACCTACAACGTTGATACCAGATAATCTTTACATCAAATCATGTGGAAACAAGATAATCTACGCATTAAAACGTTAAACACCAGAGAACTTTTAAATACCAGACCATCTAACCAAGCAGTACCAGAACATATAATACATCAAGGCATGAAGGCATAAAGGCATTAAAGGATTAAAGCATAAAGGTATGAAGGCATCAAGGTAAGTATCAAATTTCAAGATCTTTTAGGCCCATATTAGAATATCAAAATGGAAATACATGTCACTTTTTAATAAAATCAACGTATTAATATGAAGCTAACCTGTCATAATAACAGGGTACTGGTGAGATCCTTGATATACAGTTCTATGCTGCAGATGGGAGAAGTAAGGTGTAGGGTAGAGACCCTAACAAATATATAGTTCAGGATATATAGATGGGAGAAGTCAGGTTTAGGGTAACATAGGGTTTCCACGAAACAGTAGATTCTCTTGCGCAACAGTTTCGCGTTTTTGCACAAAATTTCGCATTATTTTTGCATCAATTCGAAACCATGTTTGCACGAAATTGCGCATTCATTCGAAATAAATATTTTTTTGCACGAAATTGCGGATGAATACATAAAAAAGTCATAATTAATTGTGATTTTGCGCATGAATACGAAAATAACTTAAATTTGTATCATGACATATTGCACAAATATAAAAGATTTAAATATTTGGAAAGTATGATGTAAATTAGTTTCAGTTAAAAAAAAACTTTAATATCTGTGGTATTTTATTCATGAATTCTAGTTTGGACACGGTCAAAATGTTGGTTACTTTCATTAATACAAATTTTTTATGATAAATATGTTTTGAAAAAACCCTGAAATGTGCGTCTCATCTATGTATTAATCTATATAAATATGTAAACATTTCTCTTGCTTGGGTGTCTGTTTGTTTGTTTCTTATCTCCTTAGCTGAACCAAATTGTCTTAAAATTAAATGATGACTTTAAAACCTTAGAAGTGAGGCCACCGCCCCAGGTGCGGGTCAGAGCGGGCCGGAGTAAAGTGGGGATTGGTTTTATTTTGGATTTTTTCATTTCCTGGAATTGTTTCTCGAAATTTAACGAAATAGCACGAAATAGCCGGAATAACGAAATGCACAAAAACCAAGATTTGCTTCATAATTTGCGCGAAATAGCTTATGCGCATCAATGCGAAATTATATCGAAATTTCGTTCAAATTTTACTCTAAACGTAAAAATTAATTCTTAATGAATCAAAAATCTCTATAAAAAATTTAAAAAATCGAAGCATAATTATATGAATTCGGCTTTATTTTGCCGATATTTCTTTTATGTTTTATTCAGATTACATTGCAGGTAAAATACTATTTTAATACATGAAGTACTTCTTAAAATTTCTTTACTATCATAATATATGAAATAATTTTTTTTGATTTTAGAATCCCCCCTTTACAGACTATCAAGTTTCCCTCCCCCTTTACAGACTATTTACCGACTATTTTTTCAAAATTATCAACCCACTGCCATATAAACAATAATTTATGAAAGAAGGGGGAGGTTGAATTTCCCAAGAAAATATAAACCCCAGTACAGTGTACACCATAATTAATACCTGATTGTGTTGAGTATATTGAGGTTGATTATACTGAGGGAATGAATATTGTGGATGAGAGTACTGTGGAACTGGATGATTGGGATGAAATGAATTACTAGTGTAGGATTGAGCACCAAAAGATGATGGATATCTCGGCGTCTGGATATATAATTAAAGTAAATTTTAAACAAAATTATTTTACAAACTTTTAACTGACCCTCAGTTTAGAAAGGGGCCTGGCCGATTCATAACGATACCCTTTTAACCTTAAAATGTAGCGGCATCATTATTTTTAAGCATTAACAAAATTCTAATAATTTCCTCCAATGTTTCTGAAGCAAGCAAATTCTCGCGAGACACTTTATAAAGAACCCACAATTAAAAATTGATTTCAGTCTGGNCCCTCCCCATTAAATATGGATATTCTTGTCATCAGGGTGAATAAAACTCACTCGCCTGATCATTTAAACTGCTCAAACTGTGCGCACTGCTTCCAGCACTGCTGCTTAGCATAGCCTCTGCTGCTCGCTGTGCGTCAGCAGCTCTCTGTTGGTCCATTGTACGCTGCCCATCTAGAAGGCGCGTAGGTGTTCTGTTCTGTTGTCTTTGAGCCTCAATAGCGCGCTGGAGGTCTGAGGGGTGAACCCCACCGCTCTCACGGCTCATGCTAAAGCTTAAGCTCTGAAAAAAAAAATTCAGAACAAATCAATTCAGCATTTAATTAATTAAAAAATTTTTTTTTCTAAATTGAGTAATTATTTAATTGTAGAATATTTAAAATAAAACAATTTTTTTAGTTAGAATTTTGGTGTTATTCGTATATTTTTTAATACATTTTATAAATCGAGGTATCACAGGATGACCAGAATAATCAGACAAAAGAGAGTTAAACCATCGAGTTATAAATATATTTATTGTATATTGCTGTATTAAACAGTTAACAGCTGACTAGAAATATTAGGTTTGGGACTAGTGAGCAAAATGTTGAACAAAACTATGAGAAACCCTCTGAGCTATTATGCAAGGTCAGAATTTATTTTCTGTCGAAAATTAAGCTTTCAGAAAGGACATTTTTATGTTAAAATAATGAATATTTTTAGTTGACATCTACTATGATAAAGAGTGTCCCAATAACCGTTGAAATTAAGATACGACTTGAAAATTGTCTTCGGTTTCCGATAGTTTGTAAACAACAAACAGTGTTTTATCAAAACTTTTCAAAATGTGGTCTGCCTTCTGTACATCTTCAAATTTGACTGAGATATCAGATATTTGCACGATGCCCCCGTTATGATGCAAAATGGTAGACCACATTATGAGACTAGCAGTTTTTCATGTTAAATTGGGATACTACTAAATTGTGCTCACGTATTAATGCCGTTCGGAACAAAGACGATAAAGAAGTCGTCAAATAATCCCATTTTTATTGAGATAACCTTTACTAAATTATTATGGATTAGTTTTAGAGGGTATATTAGAACTATTAGAAATGAAATCTGAAAAAGAGGTCCCGCTATGAACCCCCCAGACCGCCGGCAGGCATGGGAAGCACCGTCCCACACCTACTCTAACTGGACCTTTATACCCACAACAATTAGCCCATTGTCCGATATACATATATAAAGTAAAGTTATTGACAATGTTAAACATAGTCGATTGATCTCACGTGTTTAGATAAACGCTTTTTTAAGTTTACAGGGACTGCTGATGGATTTTAAGACGCGTGTATTTTTCGACCTAAGCAAATCTTCTATACTCTACTTCTGACCTACGCCAAATCGACTATATACTACACGTCCGACCTACACGCACGTGGTTTTACAGCTGCTATACGGACGTGTGGCCCCAGCGTCCGGCCCCCTAGCCACGGCGCTCGGCCCCCAGCCTGATCTAGCCGCAGCGCTATGCCCAGAAATTGTCTTAACATAACCTAACCCTCAAATATAACAAAACAGCTGGCGTAGGTCCGATATTGCAGTAGGTCGGAAAGTTAGTAGGTCGGAAGTTCAGTAGGGCGGATGTTGCGTATAGACGATGTAACATTACCATTTTTAAGCGACTTTCCGTATAAAGAGGTATGCCAGATTCTCAACAGTACCCTTGCAACCTTTAACTAAATACCAATGTAGAAGATACCGTCATTTTTCTTGCTTAAACACTGTCCAATTCTTTCACTTTCATCCATGGTTTCTGAAGCATATATGCGCAAGTCACTAAATAGATAATAATTTAATAATCTAATAAGAAGAGAGAAGATAATAAGAAGATAAGCTTTTAAGAGTACCGTTGTAAATCGAACATGACACTACTTAAATGTTGGGTCACATGAATTACGTCTTAAGCCCCATTACATAAAAAATAAAGTTTTATTAGTTCAGCAGTCTAGGAAGTTTGCCGCCATGAGTAGTTCAAGAGCAATCTCGGGAGGAATTGGAAACTCTGGGATCTCAGTAGAACTGTTGGTATACCGAACCTGAAAAAAAAATTGAGGAGAAAAAATTCGAAAACATTTTTTTCAATCAAATGTTCCAGTTATTGCGATACACAAAACTAATTACGTATTGACATTTACATATGAAAGCGAGAGAAAGTACGACAGTTTATTCTCATATTAGTTTTGGTCATATCGGTCATACATCAAAAAAAGTTCTATCTATTCTAATTAGAGTTCATTTAATCAGCATACAAATTGGTTACTAAATGTAAATGTTATACGGGTTCAGCACTCGGTGTTAGAAATATCCCCGGATGTATAAGCTCAAGTAAATGTTTCTTGTAAATCTTTTAATAACTCATTTAACCCTCATTAATGATATTAATCTACATTTGGGAAAATAAAGAATTGTTAAATGAAAAGATGAACAAGGCGAGCATATTTGTACATTTTCATTTTCCCACCGAATAGTTAAAATCATTCCTGTGACACATTTTATAGTTTGTGTTGTTTAATTTAAAGGATCTAAATGGTATGAAAAAATTATGTCGATTTTGAAAGATAATCAAAGGCTAGACCCGCATCAGAATTTAGTCCTGTGCTCCCAGATCGTTATAAAACTTTTTTTACATGCTTTTTCTTAGGTTTTAGCACAGAATTTTAACTTTTTTGTTAGTATTTTAGCCTCGCGGAAAAAAGGCTAAAATAATTTGGCTTAATTGCATTACCTTATACGTGAAGTACATGCAAACCTTCTGCAGAACATGCGAAGGTATCNCCTTGCAAACCGATGGAAATGTAAAGAATATGACATCAACTATGTCATAGATCTCTTTGAATTTCTAGGAGCTCCAATCAACAAGGATGGGTTCAAGTTTATTTATTTATAGACCTGGAGAAAAACAAACCTCAGGAAGGACGCTACCAGCAATTTTTTGTCTCACCAAACATATATCCCGGAGAACACAAGAAAGCTTGCTAACTGAGAAAATGTGCAGAACAGAGAAACCGAGAAATGGATCCAGTTGAAGCAACAAACTGGCAGTAGGTGCTAATTGGGATGAGGGGAGATAGGAGGCTGATAAAAGGTTGAGTTTTTCAAGGAGTCCTGGGTATAACTCATCAAGTGTTCCTAGTAAAAGTATTATTTATAGGAAGGCAATACACGATGTAATATTCCCATGTATATTTATTGCATCCTTGTTGCTTCACGTGAATAAAGACATTTATAATTTTTCAACTTTTAAACTAATTTTATGGAGATATTTCCACTTCTTAACAAAATATACAACCTAATCTTAACTTTTTAGGGTTTTAAAAACTGTAAAAACTGTTTAATTTTGTAACATATATTTTTGAGTTCAAAAATCAAACCTTATTAATGTTTTGGTGTTGTAAAACCGGCAACTTTTTGGCAGAAAAATTCGCAATTAATTATATTGCATCCCTAGTGTAGTAATCTAACTTAAATCAGGGTTGCAATGTAAATATCAGGGATTCAATAGTGTCATAATTTTGCTCAAAAGATGGAGAAAAAAATTAAATGTTTTCCCAACCTTGATAGTCCCTGAAGTTAGAGCATGATCTCGTTTCACGATAAATTCATGCCCATCACTACTCATCAGTTTCACATACCTGCAACCATATTATTGAATAAACCAATATTTTTTTTACATCAATATATAAATTTGCTTCAGATATCCCAGTTGGATGATAATGGGAA